GCTTAATCCCCAGTGCCACGTTTGCCAAGGTTACCATTTTGATCTTTGGTAATGTTTGGTCTCATATTAAGAAACCAAGGCAAACATAATCTAAAACTGCAGATTATGTAAAACAAATCAAAGTTTGCTACTTTTGGTTAAGGTGGAGGGAGAGACTATTAGTTCTTCTCAGATAAAATTGTTATATTTTCCTGGTAAAACTATCAAGCAGAGGGGCATTGATTTTACGTAAAAGCCTCCTCCTCCTCAGCCCTTTCAGTTCCGTTCCTCACTGGTAATAGGCTTCTGTGCCTGCTTCTAGAATTTCCTATGCATTTTTATATTTATTTATTTATTTTGGGGGATGCTGATCCTGGGATCAAACCATCTGTGTATTTTAAGATATGGGTGTGGGCGTGTGTGTGAGTGGTGTGTATGTGTGTCTGTGTGTTTTGTATGAATTTCATCATGCTGCATACAGTCTTTTCTAACTAGCTCTGTTCCTTCAGTAATACATCTTTTTGTATTGCTACATACAGACCTCCCTCATTTGTTTTAAAAGATGCATAAAACATTACCATTAGGTGGATGTACCACAATATGGCAACATTTTTTGATGGCTCTTTGACTTGTTTCTAGTCTTTTGGTTGTTGCAAATGAGACTGAAGTGAACACCCTTGTGCAGATATCTTTCTGTTTTCCTAAGAATGCATCTGAAGGAAAAATTCCTTCCTAGAAGTAGAATTGCTGAGTCAGAACAAGTCTACATTTTGGATTTTGACTGCCATTGCCAAAATTGCTGTCCCATAGCATGGAACCAATCTACACTTATTTTTTCACATGGTTACTTACATCGGCATTATTAGTCCTTTTAAATTTTAACCAGTCTGATTGGTAAAGATGCTGTTGAATTCTTTTATTTTTGAGTTTAGTGCTTCTCATTTTTAGTGCTACTTTGTAGAACTTTGTCTCATGGAAGCTTACCACCCATCCCCCACCCCCACCCCCAATAACCACAAGTATAAATGGAGTTTACTGAATAACCATTAAACATTTGCATGATCATGTAATTTAACTTGTATTTACCTTTACCATACACCCTAAACAAATTTGGGAACCATGCTTTGAAACTAACATAAGTTTGAATATTCACTTAAATTTTTAAAAGTCTTATTCATTAAATAAAGAGTGTGACCTTTCAGAAAGTTAAAAATGTCCAATGATTTCAGATCTATG